GCAAACGTACTTTGCAGGAAGCAAAGACATTTTGAAACTCCAGCCTCATGGACATTACAGTATCTTAAGTTGGTATTTGAAGACTCTTGTGTTGTGAAATATTTCTTATCTGTTATTCTTGGCAGCCTCGCACAATTTTGGCGAGGCTCGTGCTTATCAAAGTTAATTAGTTTGCAGCAGCCTTTTAACCGGGGATTCGTAAGAATCATTAAAAGTTTTCTGTTCCCTTTGGTTTGTGTTTTTTTATTGGAAAAGGGTTTGGGTCAGAACATAGGTCTTATTTTGGGGGGATGTCATCGACTGACTAACTTCACTTACGTGCATCACCCCTTTTTCGCTGTCAGAGGCCTTCTGCGGCCGTCAAGGCTTTTCTGAAGGCCTCTGCAGCTGATCTCTGGATCGATCTGGAGCTCTGTTCTCCAGAGGCCTTCAGGAAGGCCTTGCCAGCCTTGCCGGTCGGGATGTGCGAGGCCTGGCTACAGCTGTCCAAAGGTAAGTAGTAGGGTAGCTCCACGTCCCCATTCTATCTTAACTTTTATCCCAGCACTCGAGTGGGTGGGCTTTTTCTGGGAGTAGGGCTTATATTGGGTGCTCATGTAAAAAAATCAAGCTAGGACTTACTTTCAGGGTAGGTTATATTTTCAGGGAAACTAGGTAAGATGGAGATCTCTTTTTTGTGATATATCCATTTTGGAAATTCCTTGGTTGATGCTAACTATTTTGTGGCTGATTTTTTGAGAGCTGACTCCATGTTTTCAACCAGCCTTTTTTTTTTTTTCTTCAAACGTGGCAACTTTTAAGAGGCCTGGACTTCCACTCCCAGAAGTCCTTACATCTTAAAAGTTGCCAAGTTTGAAAAGTACTGCCTTAAACCTTTTTGGATTGGCAACTGTAGGGTAAAGTGAAAGGTTCAGCAAAGATTCTAGTTATATTGCAACCTATTTATTACAGAACTCTCATAAATGGTAAGGTGCATCAAACTAAGAGGTACTAGTGTCTAATCAAAGGCTGAAATTCGAATTTCTTTTCATTATTTATGTAGCTATCACTCTCCAACCCATAGAAGGTAAAAAGAATCTCAAAAGTCCCACTTACAGATAAAAGCAATGATCTACCCATTTTATATCTATGAAAAGCGGGAGAGCTCTACTGCGCAAGCGCAGTGAGAAAAGCTCACGGAGGAGGGGGGCGTTTCAGTGCAGGGTTATGTAGAGCTATTCAAACAAGAGCGACCCATCTTGATGAAGGGTCCTCATTTTCCCTCATAAGAAACCCTCAATGTGAATCTACACTTCTTTCGGGTTTAGGGCTGGCTGTTTTTCCGCAGCTTCTGTTTGTATGAAAGCACATCCTCCTAGTCCGAGAGGTGGGGGGGGGGGGGGGTTGCAGTCACGGCCCCCTCAAAGGAGCGGGGGCTACTGCGCATGCTCCGGTAGCAGCCGTGCCAGAGCGCGAGACGAGATTCGCGCTCGGAGGGAGGCGGCGTGTCGTGACTCCGCGCAGGCGCGTCGACGCGTTCTCCTTATTTCTCCTCAGAAAGCGCGTCGCTGTCGCGGGCGCCATTTTGAGTGGTCGCCTCGCCTATTCTTTCACCCCCCCCTTCCCCGTTTTCTCCGGTTTCTCCTCGGGGACCGCCGGGCGCGCGATGCAGGCGGGCGTAAAGGTGTTCGTGGGCAACGTTCCGGAGGAGGCTTCGCAGGTGGAGCTGCGCGACCTCTTCGAGGCGGCCGTGCCGGGCGAGGTGCTGAAGGTGGCCCTCATGAAGCAGTTCGCCTTCGTCCACCTGCGCGACGAGGCGGCGGCCGAGCGCGCCATCCAGAAGCTCAACGGCCACCTGCTCCACTGCCACCGGGTCGTCGTCGAGCTCTCCCGCCCGAGGCCCACCCACACCGTCAAGATCTTCGTCGGCAACGTCTCGGCCGCCTGCACCAGCGGCGAGCTCCGCGTCCTCTTCCAGGAGTATGGGCCCGTCGTCGAGTGCGACATCGTGAAAGGTAGCGGGCCTCGAAAGGGGGGAGAAAAAGGGGCCCTTCCGGCCGCGCAGATAGGCTGCTTCTGGACGGGGAGGCTCTGCTCCACGGCGCTTCGTTCGGCCGATTGCGGGTAGTTCTCGACTTACGACCGCCAGGCCGCCCGCGCGCGCGCTCTGTCTCTCCCTCCCACCCCCACCATTACAAATTTTCCTGGCCATATGCAGCTGTGATGAATTTGGCCCCGTTTTTAAGACCGTTCGTGCCCACGGTTGTTAAGAGAATCCCAGTACAGGTAGTCCTCGACTCACGACCCCCATCCGAGGCCATAAACTTCCGCGGTTAAGTGAGACATTTTGTTCTGCCACCGTTTTACCCAAACTTTCTTGTGAAGTGAATCACTACAGTTGTTCAGTTAGTAACCTGGTTGTTAAATGAGTCTAGTTTCCCTCATTGACTTTGCTTACCCCGGGAGACAGCCATGGTCATAAAAACGACCCGTTTGCCTGCCAAGCGTCTGGATTTGGATGCTGTAAATTGTGGGGATGCTGCCAAAGGTCATAACTGTGAAAAATACAGTCCTGGGTCACTTTTTTTTTCCAGCGCCGGTCTAACTTTGAAATGAGTCACTAAAGGGACTGTCGTAAGTCGAGGACTACCTGTAGTTGAGTTAGTCAGGTGTTTGTGAAGTGAATCTGGCTTCCCTATTGATTTTACTTGTTGCAAAAAAGGGGAATCACATGACCCTGGGGACTCTGCAACCGTCATAAGTATGAGCCGGTTGCAAAGCATCTGAATTTTGATCACGTGACCATGGGGAGGACGCAACGGTCACGAGTGGTCGAAAATGGCCGTAAGTCACTTTCCCCCCCACTGCTGCTATAACCTTTGGTCACTAAACAAAACGGTTGTATGTCGAGGACTATCTGCGGTGGAGGGGGCGGTGTTTAAAGGATCGGACTCCTGGGTGGGGGGGTTTGCTGTCTTAATTCTCATTACTCTGTTTCCCCTTTTCATCTATTCATTAGCTTTTTGCCACAGCTCTGACGCCGACCAAACGCACCGGTGGGCGGCAGTTTGCAAAGACAAGCGACAAGGCCGCCCTTTAATCCTTTGGCTCGGGTGCCGCCACACACGACCGACAGAAAGGGCTTGGGAGGGAGAAGGGGGGCTTTTTTGGGTGGGGCGGTTGGATTGGACCCTGGTTGCCAAGTGGTACCAAGCACGGAGCGCAGTGCTGTGGATGTCTCCTTTGGATACCTTTGCAGTGGGAAAGAGAGGGCATTTTGGCAAAGAGCAAGCGTGGCTCAGTAGGGACTGATAGGCCCATCTTCTGTCAACTGGTTTCTGTTTTATTCGTGTGAATTCCTTGCTGGGGGTGGCCGGGGGAAAATACGGCCTCAATGTCTCGGCCAGATTTATTTTATTTGTGTCCTGCCTATATTATTTTGACAAATCACACAAGGCGGCGAACATATCCAAACGCAACTTCTTCCTCCATATTTTCTCCACCACAACAATCCCTGGAAAGTGGATTGGGCTGAGAGAGAGGTACTGGCTCAAAGTCACCCAGCTGGTGGGACTAGAACTCATGGTCTCTTGGTTTCTAGCCTGGTGCTTTAATCATGGTTTGCTTGTCATATAGATGGCTGCAATACCCAGAAGGTTGAGTGGGAGGAAGATAAACCTCTCTGCCCACACCTCCATCCCTTTGCCTTGGGTAGCATGTCAGCAACATATTAAGAGCAAGAACTTGGTGGTGGTTTGGTGTCTTGATGTTCTTGGAGCTTTGTTCTTTCCCCTCCATCTTGGAGCCAGACAAATATTTATTCCGTCTGGTTCTTCCAAAAGTCCCATTGTAGAGGTTGGATATACTACTTGTAGCCCATAGGACTTTTTTCAATCTTTTTTTTTTGCCACTGTTGTGAATCACTGCAGTTTTTAAGTGAATCACTTGGTTGTTTGAATCAAACCAGATTTCCCCACTGGCTTTGCTTGTCGAAAGCTCACAAATGGCAATCAGGTGACTCCAGGGCACTGCAACCATTTATACATGCTGACTGCCAAGCACCCAACTTTTGATCACAAGCAAAATCGCATGGGATACAATGGGCATAAGGGCAAGGGTCAGTCACAAGTAACTTTTTTCAGTGCCGTCGTGACTTCAAATGGTTGCTAAACAAAAGGTGGTAAGTCAAAGACTTACAAGAAGTTGAGTGGTTGGAAAGATGGGACTAGATATTTTTATATCTGTGGTCAAAAGGAAGACCAAAACTTGTGCCTAGTAAAAATCTTATTTTTCTGATAGTGCTTTTTTTCCTACTTGCAGTGCAAGTAGTCTGAATGGGAGGTTATGATAGCATGGATTGATAGTCTGTGCTAGTAGTCCTTGATAGAAAACCTCCCTCGTCCCTTCCGACCCTGTGATTTTATGACTTTGTGAATGTGGGACTTGTCTTAACATGTGGCTATTGGATTCCTGTGGCGACAACCTGTAAGTCTAGTGTTATATATCGCTCAGGCAAGTTTTTCCTGGAGGCTGAAAAGTAAGAATAATAAGGAGTCTTCAATTTCCAGGTGAAAGTATTTTATAGTTGAAAATTGACCAAGAAATCTCCACTATTTTTATTTTTTCAACCATGTGGTTAAAGCCCTTTTATCACTTAATGATGAGAGCAATCTGTGTCTCCAGTTTCAGGGTTTATTAAAATTTAGTTCTACTTTGTTGGTCTGATTTCTGTCCTATAGTCCTATTTTTTCAAACAGAATGGAAATTTGGAGATAGTTTGCAACATAATCCAACGTTGGCATAGTGTAGCTTAGCCCTTATTTCAGCAATTCTCTACAATTAAGTTTAAATGGATTTTCCCTTGTAGAAAAAGAGGGAAATTGTGGGAAATCCAGCATGATTCATCAGTGAGTCAACTCAAGTATAAAATAATTCGGCAAACATGACGTAGATAAATCCCTATGGAAACAGAAAAAAGACATGTTGGAAAAACTAGTGAACCAGAAGTCAACATTTTTGTAATAGTTATGGATTAATACAGTCTTAAGTCTTACTGGGGAAAATATTTGTTTCCATAAAAGAGCTGAGAAATGTCCTCAAATGACAATATTTATAGTATAAATATAAATGTTAAACTGTTTATTAAATTTAGGTGCTGCCTATCTCTGCAAAGCGACTCTACAGAATTATAAACTTAAAGGCCATACAATTTGCAGATGTGGTTATGATTTTTTTCTCCAGTAGTAGTTGGTTTGAAAGAGCTGCATATGATTCAAGCACTGAATGAATGTGTGTGTTTGTGTGTGTGTGTGTTAAAATGTTTCTTTTGGAGCTTTTCCAAGTCTACAGTACAGATGTAGGACCCAACTTTACAGCACATAGTACTGAACAATGCTCAGAGGCAACTGCCTTTTCAGCTCCAATCAGAAGGTTCTTAGTATTGCAAATGTAAGTTTTATATCCATCGATGGCCATCATGTTATTCTATTCCCCTTTGGTATTAAGCAGTTAGTTTTTTGAAAAATAAAGTTGCTTGTTACCCAAGAATTATAACCCTTATATCTTATTTTCCCATAGTTTCTGATTAATGGATAGTTGGGTACATTGTTTAATTTAAAAAAAAAATGATCAGAGTTGAAAGCCATCAGTTCCCACTCCTAGTTGGTTTCTGGTTTGCACTAACTTGGAGAAGCAGAAAGACATTTTGATACCTTGTTCCTAAGAATTGTGATAATCTTGAGTCTATATAATCACTAATGTGAATTCAGCAGGGAAAAGTTTTAACATTTATTCTGCATCTAATGTAAAGTGTAGGAGATGCTTAAATGTGTTCTGTGTTCTACATAAACTTTAGTGGGAGATACGCAGTGTAGAAAGATAACCATCATCTCACATAACTTCTGTTGTTACTTGAAATTCATTTTTGTCAAAGCTATTAATTATTTTACTGATTAAAGCCATGTAAAAATATAAATTTACCATAGGATGTCCAAATTAGGCCACTGGTTTTACCTTAAAAGATCATTTCATTTTTGAGCCTTTTAAGCACAGTTCTATTTTAAAGGTTTTTTTTTCCTAAAAGACAAAGACCCAACCTAGTATTTAAAAGCTGTTACAGTTACATCGTACTTTGCACATTTTCAGTACATTTACATTCAGTCAAAGTAGCAGCATGGAAATCAAAAGGAACTCCCTCCCATTATTCTGTGTTCTGTGTCTTCTCCATTTTTGGCTGGGGATGACCTACTGATAGCATTCCAAGTATTTTATTCAGGATTAATATGGTGGAGCAAAAAGACCAAAACACCATGGAGATAACTATTTTGGAAGAAACCTGTGAGATTCTTTAGCCTCAACTCCCTGTTTAGTGCAGTCACTGATACATGGTCTGTTCAACCTCTGTCTGAAATTTCCAGAAAACAAGAGGTAGCTCCTCACCCGGCAGTCTGTTCTACTTCTAAAAGCTCTCATGGGACATTTTTCCTAGTGTTTGCCCAAGCCCAGTTCTAGTTTTGCTCTCGGGAGTTAAAAATAAAATAAAATTCATTCAGTTCTGTCTTCTGCATGGTGACCTGGGAATTAATCTTTCTTTTCATGAGCCAGCTAAGCAAATCGTTCAGGTGCTAGAGGCATTAGTAGGTAAGAAGGGAACCCTGGTGCTAAGGCAGTAGATGTTCAGTATGAGCCGCAGTGGTGCAGTGGTTACAGTGCAGTACTGTAGTCTACTTCTGCTGCATGCCGGTTGTCTGCAATTTGGCAGTTGAAATCTCACCAAGCTCAAGATTGACTCAGCCTTCCATCCTTCCGAGGTGGGTAAAATGTGGACTCAAATTGTTGGGGGCAATATGCTGACTCTGTAAACCGCTTAGAGTGGGCTGTAAAGCAGTATATAAGTGCTATTGCTATCTTGTGCCTTGCTAAGTTCCAGTGGCCTTTTTTTTTTTGGTTCCTTTGTAGTGGTTAGAATTGCAAAGCCGCCTTCTATTGGACAGCTATTTGTCCAGGCTGGTATAGTCTGCTTGAGCTCCAAAGTCCTGTCCCTTCCCTGGTGGCGCAGTGGTTAGAATGCAATATTGCAGGCTAATTCTGCCAATTGCCAGGAGTTCGATTCTCACCTTGACTCAGCCTTCCATCCTTCCGAGGTCGGTAAAATGAGGACTTAGATTGTTGGGGGCAATATGCTGACTCTGTAAACCGCTTAGAGAGGGCTGGAAAGCACTGTGAAGTGGTATATAAGTCTGAATGCTATTGCTATCGCCGACAGAGGCTGCTTCCCAGCGGATACACGGCCGCTTAAGGCCTTTCTCTGTACCCAAGGCGTATTCCCAATAGAAATGGTTTCCACTAATGAAATGTCATGTCTTCCTTATTGATAACCTTCTGTCTGCTGCTTTATCAGACTACGCGTTCGTGCACATGGAGAAAGACGAGGATGCTAAAACCGCCATTGAACACCTTAACGGAAGAGAAATCAAGGGCAAAAGGATTAATGTGGAACTTTCCAATAAAGCTCATAAAAGGGGGATTGCAGGTTACATTGGACAGTTCGGCGGAGACGAAAAGAACAAAATACCAACTTTAGAGAACCTGCAGACCAGGAATGATGGCCTGAGATCCGGTAACCTTGCCTACTCAATGGGGAATCCGGCTTATTCTTCACTTGACTATGACTATCAGCAGCGGATGAACAATAACACCAAATTTGACTCGAATGGCCAAGCCAGGCAGATGTCCCCTTCTTTCTTCAGAAGGGACCGGAGCCCGCTAAGACGCTCGCCCACGAGAGCAGGCTACACGCTCCCCATGACCGGACAGCAAGCTTCCTACAGAGATCAACCTGCAGCATCGCTTGGGATGGCCTACAGGCCTCAGCCTACTACTGGGCAGGCGGCCATGTACCGAGCCCAGCCCTCCACCATGCTGGCAAATGCATACAGAGCCCAGTCCTCTGTTGCCAATACTCAGGCGGCGGCAGCAGCCTCGGCATTAACATCCTATAATACTCAAGCCTATGGAACCCAGGCCACTGCTTCCCAAGTCGCCACTTACGAAGCCCAGCCCTCCACAACGTACGCTGCTGCTGCTGCTGCTTATGGGGCCCAGACAGCTGCCTCCTATGCAGCCTCCTACGGGGCCCAAGCAACTGCTCTCTCCGCCTCTTACGGAGCCCAGACAGCAGCCAGCCAGTCAGCCTTGTACGCAGCTCACACTCTCTCAGCCCAGCCTGCATCCTATGGAGTCCAGCCCGCCGTTGGCCATGCTGCTTCCTACGGGGCTCAGGCTTCATCTGCGATGCAATCTGCTTATGGGACCCAATCTGCAGCCAGCCTGGCAGCTGCTTACAGCATGCAGGATGCTGCGGCGGCTGCTTACAAAACGCAACTGTCTGCGTCGTTGCCCACGGCTTACAGAGCCCCAGCCGAAGCAGCCTACGCAGCCCAGCAGTCTGCTTCAGCCCCCGTAGCAGCAGGTTATAGGTCTCAGGCTGCAGCATACAATGGGTTGACCCAGACCGGGCAGCAGGCAGCTTCCTATGCAGGGATGTCCCAGGCAGAAACTGCCGTTCTCCACCCACTCTATGAACGCACACGCCTCTCCCCGCCACGTGGAAGCCGTGAGGATCTCTACAGAAAAGCGGCTGCAATGAACAAGAGGTATGCGGCTTTGATCATGCTTTGCACAGCAATCCCGCGTTCTATCCGAGGAGCTCTCTGTACTTCCAGAGGGACTCAAAATGAGATTCCATTCTCCAACCCTGAAAACAGGAAGGGGTTGGGTATGGAGCTCGCTAATAACCCCTTCATTGATTCTGCCTTTAGATTCCCCCCTCCTCTTTCAGCCCTTTTTCTTCTGTGCTTTTTCTATTTAAAGAAAAAGGAAGCAAAAGAATAGTTACACTCACAATTTACTTCTCTCCCAAACTGCATATTATAAATGCATGCATATAACAGAAAGAGACATCCTAGGAACCAAAAATACCTGGGTAATTTGGTGGAAGGTATATGGGCCCTGGTTCCTGAATCTCCCCTATCATATGAAAGTGAAACTAAATTAGCTCCTTAACTTAGCTTGAGCACAAACATATTTAAGGGATGTGTTTGGTTCATACCTGATCCAAAGGCTCTTTAGGTTTTCTAGGTTCCAGTCAGCTTGGGAAAAACATGCTCTGCTCAACGTGCCCTCTATTTTGAGCCATGTTCAACATCCAGGAGCCTGAATTTTTAAGTGGTTATGTAATTAGGTAGAATTTGAGTCCAAAGTATACATGTGGAACATGAGACACCGTAACTAAATCCTTTGAAAACTTAAATGTTTTCCTGGCCAGATTATCAACAGGGAACTTTTCCTACCAGTACTAGGAGTTAGAAAGGCTAGTACCTTAATGCAAGTGAGGATCCTTTATTCATCCTCCTGGAATGTAATTTCTGCACTGTAGTCTCATCAAGTCTGGAAGAGCTCAAGTGCTTTTCTTAAACAGGAATTTATAGTTTTAACTAAGCCACTAAGGGATTCTCTCCAGCCTCCAACACACAGGTAAAAGGGCGGGGGAGGCACAGCATATATTTAATTGGGGCATTTGCCACAAGTCTCTTTTCCTTTTTTTCTTTTTAATTTACCAAATGTCTCTTCTCTTAACCAGGTACAGTTCTGATCTCTCAGATGACCGCCGTTTATCTGACTACTCTGATTTCCGCCGCTTATCTGACTCCCCCCATGCGTACCGCCACTCGCCAACAAAAGCTCAACTGGATTATCGCCGCCTCCCCGAAATGCAGTCTGATGCCCGTTACGCAGGTGCCTATGGCGATTACTTGCGTAATGCACAACTGCAGCTGCATGCTAGTTACCAGCGCCGTCTGTAGAGGAAATTCCCCGCCTTCTGGGGTGGGACTCTGGTTGCCGTGGCCTCCGCCGTTGTAACCTGTAGAGCATAATCCCAGCTGCTGCATCCTAAGTCAGCAGTTCGATTTCAGAACAATCTTTTAGTCCTGACATTTCTTGATCATGGGTGCCCTAGGCCACTTTAGCTCTTAACCTTTCTTTCTTTCTTTTTGTTGTTGTTGTTGTTCTTCCTTATGCCATGTAAAGGGTGTGCTATTAGGTAAGTCATACGTGCTGCCCCAACGCGAACAATTTTGTAAACAAAAATCTTTTGGGGGATTGCCTTAACCTTACTGTTAGGGCACTCTGTTTGGCCTCAGGAGCATCGTACATTGGTGCACACTGGACCTTCTAAAACCAAAGTATGGCGTCGGGGGGGTTCGCACAAAGAACGACCATCACTTCAGCTTTCTCCTCGGTCTGGTCTTTCTCAAGATCCCGCCCAATGGGAAAACAATTCCACCTGGTTAATCTTTCATTTAATGAAAATGAGAATCACCTTTTCAAATCAGCTCAGTTGCTTCTATGTAACTGCATCCTTCCTTGATTTATGACAGCCTAGGCTGGGCAGGTAAACCTTATGTTAGAAGTGAGTTTAGATCATTTTCTTTTTTTGGGAGGGGGGCTATTATTGTAAATAAAATGGACTCGATGACATTTTAGACCACCCACTTGTGTTATGATGTTGGTGTCCGTTTGTGTATGTGCGCAAATTCCCATTCGTTCATCCTTACCTTCCTGTCATCGGTATGTGTGTAAAACTGACCTTGCCCAACTTTGTCCCAATTTTATCCTGTGGCTCCTATCATTCCCGACCATTTTCCCCATTCAGGTTCTGGGTCAAGAGGTCAATGATCCAGAATCGCTGACGGGCTTAGTCTGGGAACGAGTACTTTACAACAGGGGTGTCAAACTGTCAAACCATGCGTTGCTTAGATTTGGCTTGCAAGGCTGCCCTGGAAACAGCAAAAGACCGGCCCGCAGTGCCTCTGCCAGAAAAAAAAACGGAGCTTGGGAGGGCCGCCTGCTCTGTTTTTACTGGCAGAAGGTTGCAAGAGGCTGTCTTAACAGAAAACCAAGCTCACGAGGGCCACATGAAGGGGGACCGAGCTCCGTTTTCACTTGCAGAGGGTTGCAGGAGGCCATCACAGCTGAAAACGGAGCTCGGGAGCCAGTTTTCACTGGCAGAGCACTCGAGCCGCCACAAGCGCCCAACACGAGTGACATCAAGCTGGCCCCGCCCATCCCAGCCCCCTGAAGTCAAAACACAACCCTGATGCGGCCCTCAATGAAATCAAGTTTGACACCCCTGCTCTAAAACATTCCCATGGGGGACTTCATTCTGCTTGGGGGGGGTCCTGGAAGTGCAAACCAGGTGTATCGAATTCATTTGAATTCCTAAAGATCCAGCTTTCCTGCTCCAAAGTGCGTGGCATTAATAGAGTTTCCGTATGTGAGGAACTCTGTGCGCCTGCAGTATGAAAAGACAAATCGCAGTTGCTACTCCCGGTTGTAGTGCAGAACAGGCAGTCCTCGATTGTGGTACTGAGACCCCGCAAAAACATTTGTTAACTTGAGTTTTGCCCCAGTTTAAAACTATTCTCACCGCATTTGTTAAGGGAATCACTGCCATTGTTAAGTTAGTAACACGGTTGTTAAGTGAGTCTGGCCTCCCCATCGATTTGGCCTGTCAGAAGGTTGTAAAAGGGGATCATGTGACCCTGGGACACGGCAACCGTCATAAATATGAGTCAGCTGCCAAGCATCTGAATTTTGATCACGTGAACATGGGGGTGCTATAATGGTCCTCAGTGTGAAAAATGGTCACAAGTCCCTTTTTTCAGTGCCCTTGTATCTTCAAACGGTCACTAAATGAACTTTTGTAAGTCGAGGACTCCCTGTAATTGCGTGTGCAAAACTCTGCCCGCCCATTGTGTTCTAGAGGTAAATCACCATTTTCTTTCTGTCCCATTTGACCTCCAAGCTATCCATTTGTAAGAAACCCAGACAATGTAGCCTCTCTTGGGTGGGGGGCAAGGTGAGTTCTCAAGATACGGGGAAAGAGAAGCGTGTGGATGCAACACTGGAAGGCCCGGAATACTTTGGTTTAAGGGGTTAGGGTTGTGATTGCTGGCAACTCACTGTGCAAGTGGTGAGGGTTGCTTTTTTCCAAAAACCAATGCTTGGTTTATTCGTTGTGCTAGACCATGGCTTATTTAGCCATGGTTTAATAGCCATCCGTCAGATCTATTGGGCATAGATTCGTAATCAGTTACATCCATGAATTTCACTTAATTCAGCCTCAACAAGAGCTACCTCAAGACTCCAAACAATGTTGAAGATTAAAGGAACTGGTTCCCGTTACAATTTAAAACAAAAATAAAAACAGGATTTCGGGTCAGTAGGTTCTGAAGGACCTTGACTTTGGGTTAGAAGTAGGAAGACTTGATGGTTCAATACTCCCAGTTAAAAGAAGTTAAGTTTTCCGTTCAACACAACCATTTTTTTCCATTATGAAACACACTGCATTCTGCAAGAAGTGACATTGGAGCAGTAAAAATAAATTTAAAATTGGGAAAGGCATTATGCACCGTAACACCCTGACATAACATTCAACTTGGCTGGTATTGTTTCTTGGCAAGATTTTTGTGGATTCTTATGGCATCATAATATGGATCCTATCATTCATCCCTGCTTAAAAATCAGTTAATGTTGATAAGTATTTAATTGTGTCTGGGTGTTTTTTTTTCTTATGGTATGCAAACTTTTTTTTTATTTGCTTCTGAGAGTTAGGAGGGGTTGGGCCACTTCTGCCTGATCCCCTGGACTTGGGAGTACAGGTAATCCTTGACTTCTGGCCTCAATTGAGCCCAAAATTTATGTTGCTAAGCTTTGTTAAGTGAGTTTTGCCCCATTTTACAACCTTCCTTTGCCACAGTTATTAGGTCGGTAACATAGTCGTTAAGTGAATCTGGCTTCCCCATTGACTTTGCTTGTCAGAAGTCACAAAAGGTGATCACATGACACCAGGATACTGCAACCGTCATAAATAAGAATCAGTTGCCAAACTGGCTGAATTTCAATCACATGACCAGGGGGATGCGGCAAAGGTTATAAGTCACTTATTCCATGCCATCGTAATTTCAAACTGTCACTAAATGAACCATTGCAAGACAAGGACTACCTGTATAGCCTCCTAGTCTACAAATTGGTTGTATAGGCTGACTAGCCAGAAAAAAACATTTATGGCTTGCTTTAATTTTGGTCGCCATACTACAAAAAAGATGTTAAGACTTTGGAAAAAGTGCAGAGAAGAGCAACTAAAACGATCGAAGGCCTGGAGATTAAAACATATGAAGAACGGCTGCAGGATTTGGGTTTGGCTAGTCTAAAGAAAAGAAGAATTGGGGGGGACATGATAGCAGTGTTCCAGTACTTGAGGGGCTGCCACAAAGAAGAGGGGGGTTAACTTATTCTCCGCAGCATCACAAGGCAGGACAAGAAACAACGGGTGGAAATTAATCAAGGAGAGAAGCAGCCTGGAATTAAGGAGGAACTTCCAAACAGGACAATTAACCAGTGGAACAATTTGCCACCAGAAGGCTTTTAAGAAGAGTCTAGACCAGGGGTGTCAAACTGGCAGCATCACATGACGTATTGGGACTTTTCCCCCTCTTTGCTAAACGGGGTGGGGCCAGGGCTACCAAGTGATGCATCTGGCCTATGTTTGACACCCTTGATCTAGACAGTCACTTATCTGAAGTAGTATAGGTTCTCCTCCTTGAGCAGGGAGCTAGATTAGAAGACCTCCAAGGTCCCTTCCAGCTCATTCATTCTATTCTAATTTCAACAACCCCACGATTTGATTCTTAACCAGTCCATTTTAGTGCTGTGCTCATTGCATTATTAGTCTCAGTCCTTCCAAACGGCAACAGAGCTTAAAGCTTACAAAATGAACTGCTGATTGGTGAAGATGCTTAGATTTCGTCCATGAATCCTGGGCATCTCACTGGACAGAAGGGGAATCCTGGAGAAGAAGAATAAGGCACAAAGCTGCAGGTGAGAAGTAGAAAAAACTTGTCCTTATTGGGCCAGTTAGCAGGAATGTCAGAGTTTCGGGTGAAGGGAGGTGTTTTGTCTCATAAAGGTAAAGATAAAGGTTCCCCTTGCACATCTGTGCTAGTCATTTCCGCCTCTAGGGGGCATTGATCATCTCCATTTCAAGGCCGAAGAGCCAGTGCTGTCTGAAGACGTCTGTGGTCATGTGGACGGCATGACTAAACACCAAAGGTGCATGGAGGAACGCTGTTCCCTTTCCACCAAAGTGGTCCCCATTTTTCTACTTGCATTTTTTTTTTTACGTGCTTTCAAACTGCTAGATTGGCAGAAGCTGGGACAAGTAACGGGAGCTCCCGCAATTACGCAGCGCTAGGGATTCGAACTGCCGACCGATCAACAAGTTCAGTATCTTAGCCACTGAGCCACCGCGTCCCACTTTCGTCTCCTTACAGTGCTACAAAACTATGAAGTCTCTGGCTAACTGTGGCATGGACTGATTTTCTTATTTTTATTTTTTTGTCTTGCCTGGAAAAAAGGGGGTTTGTGTTGGGAAATTTTTTAAGACAATCATTCACCTTTTGTTGAGAATGGGCATGTGTCTCTCTATTGTGCTCCTGTTCCTCTTAGGATACGAGGTACTCCAGATTGTGGAGTTCCTTAAAGAAACACCCAAGCCACTTTTAGGATGGCTAACTAAATTATCTTGACCCAAGCTCTTTTTCTGGGTTCACTCCACTGAAATCCATGTGTGATACTACCACAACCACGCAATTGAGCCCAAAATTTCTGCTACAAAGTGGTCAGTTGTGAAGGGTCAGTTGTGAAGCCAGTTTTGCCCCCATTTTAAGACCTACCTTGCCACAGTTGTTAAGTAAATCACTCCAGTGTTTAAATCCGTAACACGGTTGTTAAACCAATCTGGTTTTTCATTGACTTGTCAGGCGGTCCCAAAAGGGGATCCCAGGACGCCGTAAATACAAGTCACCTGCCAAGCATCTGAATTTTGATGAGTTGACCATGGAGATGCTTGGTGTGAAAAATAGCCCTACCTCCCTTTTTTTTTCCAAGGGCCGTTCTAACTTGGAACTGTCACTAAATGAGCTGCTGTAAGTCGAGGACGACCTATGATAAGAGGCTGGGGCTGCCTTTTACAAGTTTGCTACTTTAAGCCTGCATGTTTAAGTTGGAGGGATTTTTGAAACCTGGTTTCTTAAACGGAGCCCTTTGGCTCACTTCAGGACAACCTGCCTGAGCCGACGCACCTGCGAGTCGCACCACGAAAAGGGGAAATTTGAATCCGGATCGCTCCCAAACCGAATTAAGACAATCCAGCCCTTTTTGAGCCCAGCTTTGATGGCGCTGCGCGCCGGAGGGCTTTCCCCGACCGACCCCCGGCCCTTCGCCCACGTGGGAACCAAGTCCTCCCTTTTCCCACGGCTCCAATTACGAGCGGAGGCTTACGTCGCGATCCGGGGCCCCCGGGCCTTAGGGACCCCCACCCTATCCTCGCACCCGTCGGGGTGGGAAGGCGAGCGGCAGAATTGCGAGAAACGTCCGGGCAGGGGGAGGTGGGATCGGACCTAGGGTCTTCCAACTTGGCAAGTT